ATCTATTTTTATCTTTTCCGTCTCAAAACACCTATTTATGTTTTCGTTTCTTCTGTCGTATTGGTAGAACCCAGTGAAAATTTAACTAGGGAATGATATAAAAGCTGAAGTGTATTCAGCAATATGTGGAGACTTGTTGACAAGGATGAAGTGGTTTGGGGCAAGTGGTTGACTGAACTCATAAGAAGATGTAATCAACAGCATGGCCCTCAAATCTTCTGAAGATGCAAAATATACCCCAAAATATTTGGGTAAATGTACAAATGCTGCAAGAGTTGACTTCCATTCTTTGTCAAGTCACTGTGACAGTTTCTACTATGTGTTTTCTGACAGAAGTATGTGTTTGGCATTAAATAGTTTTTCTGCTGGTTATACAAGCAGCAGTCTTACAAGATACAAGTGCCAATAGTCATACAAGACACAAGTGGATGCCTCCGTTCCCACTGTTCATAGTTGCTTAGTCATCCTGACTGTATTTTTTTCCCCTTGGTTGTAGAAGGTATTGTGTGAAAACTACCTTCCAGTGATGAACTGCAGCTTTGTGGTATTCTAGCATGTGTCATAATATTTTCTTTTTGTGCCATGAGTAATACTTTTTTTTGTATGGATGGTGGCTTTTCTTTAACAAAGCAGTATTTGAATACAGGCCAAGGTTAATTTGAAGGTTGGGAGGCAACCCAAAGTCTGTGTTGCATAAGGAGTCATGAGACCTTGAGATAGAGAGTAGGGAGGACTTATTAGAATTTTAAAGTGACTTGTATTAAGGTGCAAGGTATCAGTAATGCCTGGAAGTATGTACTTTGATGTATGGTGTTTACCACAGCTGTGACTAAAATTCTCCTGGCTTTGTTTCCCTTCTTTCTGTCATGACAGGTTAGTGCTGTAATGTAATACACATGCAGACTCAAAAGTTCTTATCTTTTAAGGTTTTGACTGTATGCAGCTCCCAACCATATGAAAATACAAGCATCAAACAAACTCAAGTCCAGAAGTAGCATGAGAATTCCTCTTAAAACTGTCTCTTTTTTTTTTTCTTTTTTCTCCCATCACACTGATGGAAATTATTTTGTGTGCCCTACATACCATTATACTGAAACTAAAGTGACTATATCTCACTATTTAAAAAAAATGCAAAACTTTGTGTTCAGAAGTCTGCCTACCCAAAAGAGACTGAATAACCACAAAGCTGTGGGGTTTCTTTGTTATGCTTAGTTTCAAACAGTTGTGGTTTTAGCTACTATTTTTAGCAGTCTTAAATGTTAGCATTGTAAAAAGTGGTTTTTGGACAGCAGTATAGCCTGTTGGTTTGAGAAGGGCTGTGGTATCTCTATAAAACTTTGTTGCATGCATAGTTTACAACTAATAAGCAAAGAGTTTTTTCTACCCCTGAGGTGGACACACCATAGGTATTATAAAGGCATAGGTGAATCAGGACTCAAAGTTTCCTGAAGACTATGGGTATACTTCCCATCCTTCTGTCTTCTACCAGGTTCTCGCAAGACCTTTGTAAAGGAGAACCTCACAGGTGTAGGCATATGCATTACAGTCCTACCACTGTCTGGTTAAACCTACTGGGCTGCTTAGAATTTGTGGAGAACTCCAGGATAAACAGGACTCTAATTCAACATAACTTTTGTGTGTATCAGTTGACTGAGTGAAACTTGGTCGCTGCCTTTAGTGACTTCAAAAAATCATTGTGTGGACTGGAGGAGTCTTGAGAGCTGTATCTCATGTTAAAAAAGTGTTACCAGTTCCCAAGTTTGCTGTTCTTGGAATTACAGTAGTCAGAATTCATAAATGGTGCTGAAGCTGTTTTGTCACAGGCTGCCTTAGAGTGAGGATGAAATGGAAGTGTCTGTGTACATAGAACATGTGGGAAGGATGGAAGTGTCTGTAATGAACGATAACACAAGGAGCTTGGAGAAGAAAATGCAGACATTTAGGATGCCATTGGTAGGAGCTGTTCTTTTTCATCATGTTACAGTGAACTCGCCTATCTTAAATGAGTATGACAGTCATAAATATGAATAAAAAACCAAGTAATGATTAAAAAATGAATACATTGGGTTTTATCTGTGAGAAACTTGGAGCTTTTTAATCAGCAAAACTAATGAAAATAAGAGAAAAATATTGGCAATGCTGGAAGCTGGGTTAAAAATAAAGTAGTTCTCCCTAAGCAAACTCTGAAAAAATTTCTTGACTGAAATGTTTAATTAAAACCGTTGTGATGTTGGACTTGATGATCTTAAAGGTCTTTTCCAACCTGGTTGATTCTGTGATTCTGTGTGAGCATTTTATAGGCTCAGCATCTGCAGATTGCACTGTGTTCTAAGAAAGGGCTTTTCAAAGCAGAGGCTCAGAATAGGTTTCAGGATGGGTTGTTCATATCTTTCACACCTCAGTACAGAAAATGGGTCAAGATAATGAGCCGATAATATTAATTTGTATTATTATTCCAATTAATACAAATTAATATTATCAATTGGAATTAGCTGATAATATTAATTTGTGCTGGGCGATTATCTCAGAGCAGACTACTTTACACTTACCAGAATGAATCATGGCATGATGAATGAGCATTTTCCTAAAGTTCCTTGAATGTGGTGGTGTCCTACTTACTTTAATATATGAAATGAAATTCTAATTCAGAAAGTTAATTTGTAATGGCAATTATTAAGCAACTTCTAGTTTAAGATGATAGCTAAAACATGATAAAGCATACATAATAATGCGTATAGATTTAAGGGATGGGAGAACTTCCCATGTGGTCTAAGTAGGTGGTTTCTCAAAGTGAGCAGTGGAATAGTTTCCTTTGGCTCATTTAAAACCAAGCAAAATATCAGAAAGCATGTGATTTCATTGCTGGTTAGGATTTCAGGCATCCTGTAGGAGTTGAATTTATGCTTATAGCTTTATGCGAATGAAGTGGCGAATGAAGAATGAAGCACCAAGATATTTTGGGAATTCAAGCCAGCTGGAGTAGTGTGTATTGCATATTAGTAAAAACACATTGACATCCTGTCAAATGTCTTTTATGTGGTTATTCATGTACATGAGTTAAAGGTGTATATAATTCTCCCTGTATATGTTGCCTCATCCAGAATTCTGGCTGTGGATGTGAATAATTGTTCTTTTCCCTGCCTCTCTGGGTTCCCTCTTGGATTTCCCATGGTTCAGGTGCATGGGTGCTGCTGGCAGAAAAGATAGGATGGTATGGATAGAGAGCCCATGTGGATAGATGTCAGTTTAGCGCAACCTGCAACCATGGATTTAGTGTTAACTGGCCATTATCTGTGACCCGGATATTTGAGCTCACCCTGTTGCAAACCTTTCGTTTCTTTTTCCTTTGTACTAACTTCTGTTCTAAGTACTTAGTGAGAATTGCCCTGGCTCTTAACAATGTGTGTAGTCCAGGAAAGACTGACACCTGTGACCACTGTGTCTCTGGAGCTGATGTACCCTTCTTGCTATATTTCCTACAGTACCCACTAAAACAGGACTGTTGCCTTGGGGGGAGCGTATGATCCCATATTTGATTGAGATAAAGTCTTTGCTACTGAAGTTTGTTTTAAGAAAGTGGGAGTATACTTGATTATAGTGCTAGAGAGTTCCAAAAAGTGTTCTTTGGAATTGTCACTCTTATGGTACAAGATGCTGCAGCTCTAAGTAGCCTATGAGGAGGGTTAACTGAAATTTGGTGTGAAAGGGAGGGAGAAAAGGATGAGTATGGGATGTCTTGGGCAGGTTCTTTAAAGGCAAGAATGATGTTTGGGAGAAAAATACCAAAAGAATGGTTTTTCATCCTTTTCACAGGATGTTTGTTGGCAGTAGGGCTGCTTAGGGCTTTTGTTAATCTAAGTCCTTCCATGGGTCAGGAGTCTAGAATGATAATTCCTCAGGTGGTCTTGTATTTTCCACAGCTCTTCCAGACCAATGGTAATCATGGGTACCCCCTTTTAATCTTCATGCTGTGTGATTATAGCTTTCCTTTTGCATCCATCCCTGTACTGACATTACCTTCTTCCTCTCCTTTCTCCTGTATTACTTTCCAGCACCTACTCCTTTTCTAGCTCTACCCATCCTCTCCTGTTGAAGTGAGGGCAGACCATTTTAAGGTTGACCTTAACCATTTTAAGGTTGACATATTTTTCTTGAAGCAAGATAGATGGTCTTAAGTAATGCTTCTGAACCATGAAAACATCTTTGGATGATACGTGACTTGAACTCACCTTCTTAAATAGCCCCAGACATAATACTTTGATGTAGCTAGACATCTGTATGCTTTGTAACTAGTTTCAGAACCTTTTGTCATTTTGCTTTATACTTGTTAATATGTCTTGTGACATGTAGTGGTTGAACAGGCATGCACATTGTGTGGCTTAAATATAGAGGAGTTTTAATTTCTGCTGTTGTAATATTGACTCTCTCTCCCTTTCAGAAACCTGATGTCTTGACCACTGGTGCTGGGAACCCCATAGGGGATAAGCTTAATATCCTGACAGCAGGGCCACGTGGCCCTCTTCTTGTTCAAGATGTTGTTTTCACTGATGAGATGGCTCATTTTGACAGAGAGAGGATTCCTGAAAGAGTTGTGCATGCAAAAGGGGCAGGTATGTTTCAAAACACATTCTTTTTCTTGGTGTAGAATTAGACTTTGAAAAGCCTTTGAGTTAACATGTAGATTGTGACAGATAAATTGCATTATATTCTCTCTAATTTAGTATTTTAAGAAATAATTCTGTATCAACAACAGTGGTAAGGCCTGGTTTAAAAGAGCTCAGTGTCAGAACTCAAACCACTGAAAAAATGATTAAAAACCCCATAGTTACAGCCCTTAGATTTTTACTATATTTATTGCAATCTCTGCCTCCTCTATCTGTTCCTCCATAGTACCCCATTCCTCTGGAAAGGAAGACTTGCCCAATTCTATTTTAATATCTGTTTTCATGTTATTTGTTAGGGATTCTTGTCTTTATCATCCAATGTTGGGACTGTTCAGCCTGGAGAAGAGAAGCTGTGTGGAGACCTCAGAGCAGCTTCCAGTGTCTGAAGCGGGCTACAAGGATGCCGGGGAGGGATTCTTCATCAGGGACTGTAGTGATAGGACAAGGGGTGATGGGTTTAAACTTAAACAGGGGAAGTTTAGATTAGATATAAGGAAGAAGTTCTTTACAACGAGGGTGGTGAGGCACTGGAAGGGGTTGTCCAAGGAAGTTGTGAATGACCCATTCCTGGCACAAGGCCAGGTTGGACAGAGCCTTGGGCAATATGGTCTAGTGTGAGGTATCCCTGCCCATGACAGGGGGGTTGGAACTAGGTGATCTTAAGGTCCTTTCCAACCCTAACTATTCTATGATTCTAATGTGTCTGCTAAAGCAAGATGATGATCTAAAATTTAAACTAAACTGAATTAACCAATTTTAAAATTTATTGATCTTAATAAGGTAGAACTGGCACCTCTGATTTTATTATTATATATTAGCCTAGAGGAAGAAAGTATGTTACTAAATTTATAATACAAATGTGCATGGGAAAAATACCTCTGTGGGGTGGGAAGAATTCTGTTGCTTCATGCAGCTTCCAGGTGCACCAAGATTCTGCAACACGTACCAGCATTAAAGAAATACTTGTCTTGCTCTGAGGTAAATATGCAAATCTTGGCAGAAGAGTATCCAAAAAGCTAGTTTATTATTTTGCACAGTAGAAGTATGGTCTGTATTTCTGTTGGGAACTGTTAATGATCAGTTCAGGAGGGGAGAATGAGCACCTTACACGTAGTAGCTTGTGTTAAGTAAATCCTGTTTTATAAAAACAGTGTTCTAGTGCAGAAATAGAAACTGTATTTAACCTGGTGTATTTCCGTGTTTCTTGTTGACTTTAAGTATGTTGGACCACAATAGAATAGCAGGTCCACTGTGAGTGGAAAGAAGGTATCTAGATCTGACATCCTGAACTTGCTTTCCTTCAGGAGCCTTTGGTTATTTTGAAGTCACTCATGATATTACCCAGTATTGCAAGGCAAAAGTGTTTGAACACATTGGAAAAAGAACTCCGATTGCTATCCGGTTCTCCACTGTTGGTAAGGCTCTAAAGCTATTGTGTATCCTCTTACATGTGTACCAGTTATACTGATAGCAATACTTACATTATTATTGAGTACTTAAGGTAGTTTACAATACTTTCTGTGGATTTCCTTTAAATTATAAGTCCTTAAGCAGCTTCTGCATCTTTCTGTCAGAGCTCTATGCAGATACTTTTCCATATGGAATGCGGGAGAAAGGATACCCTGAGCTAGGTTTTTTTTCTGACAAAAAGCTTGTCTGGATGGATCATAATCAACAGTTGCATACTGCAGTTTAACACTTGAAAGTTAAATACCTATAATCTCTTATGCTGTAGGAATGCTTTGGGGATGAATGCTGTAAAGCAAGTATGAGGCAAGGCAAAATAAACAATCTTCCATAAATAAACTCTGATTTCTTAGAGCTGAATGCATAAACCAGCAAAATCTTAAATTATATTCACTAAAATGTGCATTATGATCAATACCTTGTTTGGTAAAGAAAGATCTCTCAAAATATGTGTGTTACTACTTTATTTGAAAGAAGTCCTAAGGAGGATTCAGTTCTGGAAGTAGTATTGCAGAGAGAGTTGTTGTTCAACAAGGTTCAAGGAGCTGCTGGTTTCAGCCTACCAGCTTTTGTCTGCGTCACTAAAACTGAAGGGATCATGGAATTTTATACCAGGGGAAAGACATGCAGCTGAGTTTGACTTGTGTGTGCTGCAATGGATTGTTGCATCATTACCTTCCCTTTCCCTGCTCTGTTTGAAAGCGTTTCTTCCTAGATTTTCTGTACTACACGATTATTTTAATGAGAGAATGGGTGTCCTTGTTATTTTGTCACTATGCTTAGCATTAGCTGTTCCTGGATATTTCTGGAACACTTTTGCTTAGGTATTGTGGTAGGCACTTCTGCTCTGGTATAAAGTTACCCATTGAAAAGACTGTTTTAGATAAAGCAGAAGTTAAAAGTGTTGCAACTCTTCTATATGAAGTTCCCTTTTTTGTTAGGCATGTTATTTAGATTGCTGCCTTCCAAATGTGAGAGCTTTTACACTGGGATTTGAAGCACAGAAACTAATGTTTTAGCCTTACAATCTAATTTATTTTTTTTTTTGATAATGCAAATTCCACTCTGAATTGGTTCAAATGGATATGTTTGTTTGTTTGTTTGTTTTCCTTTTAACTGTGGCCCGAATGTTTGGGTGGGTGTCTTTGGAAACTTTCAATGCCTGAAGGATTACTGAAAATACGCCAAAAATTCCTTAGTATATTAGAGAATTAAATTGATAAATGCCACCCTTTTAAGATTTTATGGCATATTCTCAAGTTCTGTGGTTTTAGGCTTGCAATCTGTATGTGTTTCCTATCATAACACTTCTGTATTCATGTGTTCCTTCAAGCTGGAGAATCTGGGTCAGCTGATACAGTTCGTGACCCTCGAGGCTTTGCAATGAAATTCTACACAGAAGAGGGTAACTGGGATCTTGTGGGGAATAATACTCCCATTTTCTTTATTCGGGATGCGATGTTGGTGAGTAAGCATAAAGAGGAAGGTACTTTGAAAGAGTCCAAAAGTTCATTCATATCTTGTTCTTGCTTCACTGAGAAGCAGAACCTGTTGTTTTGACACACTTAAACTTTGTTGTTTGCTAGATAGTCTGAGTGTTTTTTACTGGAAAAGGTGTTACTTAAATAAAATGAATTTAAGAACTAATGCTTGATTACTTGTGTTTCATACTGTAAATAGCATACACATTTAGTTGTGTTTACTAGTGCCTATGTTGCAGAACAGCCAATAAGTAAGTATGCTACCATGGTTTTAACTTCAGATCTGACCAGTTTTACTGGTGTTCAAACTGGCTGTTTTGCTCTGTAGACAGTTTTTTCATTCAGAGGCTATTGCAGGAGGGGAAAACTTCACTCTACAAACTTCTTGCAAATTCTTTTTATTAAATCTGACTTTTTTTTTTGTTCTTTTTAATGTAAATTTAACAGCACTTTATAAGTAATGGGGCTTTCCTTGAGTCGAAGAGTTCTGCAAGGATATTCTGTAGTATCTCTGTATTCATTTACAAGTCAGATATTCAGTGGAGTTCAGATATACAAATCTGGAAACATTTACCTCTATCAGTCACAAAATGAAAGCATTCTTGGAATAGTCTGTTTATCCTAACTGTGAATGTGTTTCATTTCACCCCATTTTTACTGGTCTATGAATGAATTTGATTGCAGGAGAGGTATGACAGTAGAAGATATTTTTTCAGTGATCTTACAACTTTGTCTCATCTTTGTATGCTGTTCCTTTCACAGTTAAGTGTAAATGAAAAACTGGTTGTCTTGTTTTGTACCAGAAGTTGCTTAGTATACCCCATTTGATTTGGAGGTCTTAAAGAACTTCTTTTTTTCCCTCTTCTTCCTCTCTGGACAAATCAGTTTCCATCCTTCATCCATAGCCAAAAGAGGAACCCTCAGACTCATTTGAAGGATCCAGACATGGTGTGGGATTTCTGGAGTCTTCGCCCTGAGTCCTTGCATCAAGTAAACTTCTCCTTTGACTTCTTTTTGTATGAGTAAGAGAATCGTGTTATGACAGCGTATTTCTGTAAATCTCTTTTCCTTGTTTCCATGTTTTATCTAGAAGTTTATGTAATCCTCTAGAAACAGTATAAAGGTGAAAGGCCAACAGTAACTTAAGGCTATTAATACGTGCATCTAGGCTTTCTTCTTTTAATGACTCTATGAAATGGGTGGGATTTTTCCATTTTCATAATCGTATTTTATATGGGAATGAAGGGGAAGTTGCTAAATTTTCTATCACTGAAGCAGCAGAGATACTGATGACGACAAACGGTTAATGTTGGAGAGCAGTAAAGGACTGGGAAAGCGATGCTATGACATATTGGATTATTTAAAGCTGTATATCATGTTGCTCATGAGATCAACTCAAAACATTACTAGAATTCACAGTGAATTCTAATTGTTCTGATGTGTATTTGTATCTAAATGTCATGCAAAAAAGCTAATATGTAATTAAAAATGCAGTTGTATGTATTTATTTTAAAGAAAATGGGTTCATACAGAAGCTTTCCAGTACAGATGTAGTACCACAAGCATTGTTTGTGATCATAAACCTAAAGAAAATCAGTATTTTGAATATGTTGACATGGTGGTACTTTTATAGCTTGAAGACTCTGGAGTTGTTAAAGACCTCAACTTCCAGATTTTTGCCTTTAACCTGCAAAGAAATGTCATTTATGCTTATAAATTAAATTATCCATGCTTACCTGCTGCATGCTTGCAGGAGAATTGGTAACATTATCACTAGGTTAATGCCTTGTACTTGACCAAACATTTTATGTGGGCATAAAACCTCACATAGGTTTAATTCACAATTGTTCTTTGTGCAAAACCAAAGAGGTCCTATTTAATACTCTTAAACTAGAAATTCCTTAGGGAACTCATAACATTACGATAGCTTCCAGCAATGCAGATTAATGCAAGAAACAAATTCTGTGTTGAATGGTCATTTTATCCTTGATCTGGTGAGTCCATTCATACTGTTTGATTCTTCTCTTTAGGTGTCTTTCTTGTTTAGTGACCGTGGTATTCCAGATGGGTATCGTCATATGAATGGATATGGATCACATACTTTTAAACTGGTTAATGCTAGTGGAAGAGCAGTTTACTGCAAATTCCATGCAAAGGTATTGATATCTTTTCCAGTTATCTATTGGAAGTATGCACCAGATTGGATAAATCATAAAATCAGCAAAACAGGTTAAATAGATTGTCTAAAGATGTTTTGGGATTTGTCAAGCCTAAGTCAGAAGAGACTTGTTAGTGCATAGACTCAATCAAAAAGGTCTGTGGTGTATTTTATATCAATTGAATACCTTTAACAAATACAGTGGGTGTCAGTGTTCCTGCTACAAAACAGTAGGTAAATACCTACTAGACTCTACATAACTTTTCTTTGGGGACCTATCTCTTGTTATTGAAGAACTCTGTCTACTTGTGTGCTGAGCTTCGAAATAGATGTTTTGGGCATGAGGCAGTGCAAGAACTTCCTATTGGACTCCCTTGCTATCATTCGGTGCACATACAGGAATCCTTTAGCCCTTTGGAAATGTGCTCTGGTCAGCGTGCGATATATTCCTGTTTCATGTTCATGGCTACGCTGTAGTTCAGATGCAACTTCTTCAAGTAGAAGTTCTCTCAGTCTGGATATGGGTTTTGTTTTTTCTGGATGTGAGCCACATTGATCTAGTATTTTTAACATGGACTTGACAGTATACTGAAATATAAAAACTCTGTTTTACAAGAGGCCTGCAGCTGAGGCTCTCGGAACCTTACAGAACTTCCACCCTTTTCTGAGAAAGCAGTCATGATCATATCTCACTTGAAAACAACTTCCCTTCAAAGTTTTAAAGGCCATGCAGCTTCTTACGTCATTAGACATTGGTGGAGACTGGAATCTACCTTTGAAGCAAGACTTCATTTGAACCAATATGTTAAACTAAGAGGGATTATATAGCAACTTTTATCCTTCAGGTTGTCAAAAGTTTATTAAAATGAAATTTTAGTTAGTGCTAAAAATGTCACAGGAATGGGAATGGAGGGTGGGAAACGGAGGTACATATAGAATTCAGAACTTTCAGCCCTGAGGGCTGCAACCATTTTATCACTTGTTTGGAATGTGATATGTAGGAAAGGGTGGGATATTGGAACAGTAAAGGAACACTTCGTCCTGTAAGGGGTGAGGGGAAAGCTCTTTGCTTGATGTGCGTCAGGGAGCAGACCTTCAAGTTTGATGTCTTGTGTTCTGCAGTATAGCATTACATATTTATTTCACTTTTATCAGAGAACTATTATTTTATCTGGAAGGCAGCTGTTGAATGTACTATTACTTGCAACTCAAATTACTGGATATTGGAACATGAACAATTGCATTCTTGGATTATAAGTCTTGTTAGAGTGTATTCCTGTTAATGATTTCTGAAATAATTTTGCATGCTGTAACTGGTGCTACTGCTTTTATTGCTTTTTAGACTGATCAGGGCATCAGAAATCTTCCTGTTGAAGAAGCAGGAAGACTGGCTTCTACTGATCCCGATTATGGAATACGTGATCTTTACAATGCCATTGCCAAGGGGGACTATCCATCATGGTCTTTCTACATACAAGTTATGACATTTGAAGAAGCAGAGAAGTTTCCATTTAATCCTTTTGATTTAACTAAGGTATCTCTGAGATAGTTGTGAATATTCTATTTCAGCTAGTTCAAAAAAGGTTGTAAGATCAAAATGCCAGAACTAAACTTATCTATTAAGAGTAGTAGTTTCCATGGAGTAGCACTGTTTTCTTACTAGGCCCTATCAGTCCTTTTTTTAACTCTCCCGAAATGGCTAAAGACTTTTATACTTGAAAGTAAAAGTTAAGATGACAAAGAAAAGGCTTGTTAAGCTGGTTGCATTTGGAAGTAGCTGAAAACAATCATGCTACCAGTTCCACCTACGATATTGCATTCCTAGGCTGGTTTTCAAGTGCCTTTGGGTATTTCATTTAAGTAGTCAAGTGCAGCTGAGATTATGCTGGGATGATGAAATAAGTTGCATTAGTATTTTGTGTTAATTGCAAAGACTTCTTAAATAAGACATTTCTCAATGTTAAAAAAATTTATTTCTTTAGTAATGTATTTTCTTAATCAAGACTTAAATCAGGTAAATGCTGCCTAGTAGTTAAGCTGTATAATACTATTATAGTGCTGATCTTAATGTGTGTGTCTTGCAGATCTGGCCACATGGTGACTACCCCCTTATTCCTGTGGGAAAACTTGTCCTGAACAGGAATCCTGTCAATTACTTTGCAGAGGTAGAACAGATGGCATTTGATCCTAGCAACATGCCACCTGGTATTGAACCCAGCCCTGACAAAATGCTGCAGGTAAACTACAATGTGTGTAAGATTTCACCTGAAGAGAGTTACATTTGCATTGCTGTTTATAAAGCAACCCCTGTTTGTGTAGTACCAGTAAACCTGACCTATGGAAAGCAACTGATTTTCTAACTTATTTTTTTGGTGGTTGTTTTTTAATGTTTCTTTAATCACCATTTGATGTGCTCATCCAAAATGGAAATAAAAAAGAGAATGGGAAAGAACTAAAGGGATAGAAAAATCTAAAATTTAAAAGGGCGTTTGAAGCAACTAGCAAAGTTGATGAGGAGATCTGTCAATCTGGCAAGAAGTATGGGATAAAACCAAAGGAGCAATGCATATTCATTAATGTTTTTACAGTATACCTTAGACTTAAACTCTTACGAGTGTAAAAGGTGGGTTTCAAAAGGTGTAAAATAGATATAACTAATCCCTGATATAAACCACAAGACTATTCTTTAGAAGTAGTGACAGATCTCTTACAGGTCAAAATATGTGATAAGACTAGCTGCACTCTATACAGTCTGCAGAGTCCTGGATGTTTGCATGTTCTGCTTTTTCAGATTAAAACCAGATTGCTGTTTCAAATTATATCCATGGAAATAAGAAGGTATTTTAACAGTTCAATGGGATAATTTCATGAGCTGTCACGTAGTTCTTTTGTTTTGCCTCTTTTTGCTCCCACAAACTTCATGGCCAGAATAAGTCTGTTGTCTTGGCATCCAGATGTCACTAAACCAGCTTCAGTTCAGTAAATAAGGGAGTGCATATGTATAGTGCTCTGAGTTGGCATATACATCACTCAGGTGATCTCTTTCCGCAAGTAGTAGTTAACGCTTGTGATAAATGTTTTAGGGTCGTCTCTTTTCGTATCCTGACACTCATAGACACCGCCTGGGACCCAACTATCTACAAATTCCTGTGAACTGCCCCTTCAGAGCTCGTGTGGCCAATTACCAGAGAGATGGACCAATGTGTGTTTCTGACAACCAAGGTAGTAATGAAAATATCTTCAGACTTATGCATGTCCTTTGTAGAATTCTTTTCTGCTCACAGGGAATTTAAGATACTTGATTAACAGATGGGGGGTTTAGATATTACTAACTTATTATACTGTCAGAAATGCTACTTTTTTCTCCTTTACCAATCAGTGTCTCTTGACTTTTTCCCCAGCTCAAACATCACTGTAACTTCCTGGGCTTCAGACTTCCCAGCCTGTTTTTTCTTTTATGTGAAAACTGTTCCTTACCCCTCATAATCTTTGTCAACCTTTTAGTACTTTTCCATATATTACCAGATCCTTTTTGAGATGAGTTGGCCTTGCCTGCAGTTATTACAAATCTGCCATACACCCTTTCCTGTAGAGTGCCCTAAGTTTGTCCATGTGCCATTCCTAATACTCTAACTTGGCGCTCACCAGCAATCAGAAAGCAATTTACTTCAACCTATCCAAATGAATTCAAGGTCTGTTTTGTGATAGGTAATGGCGTATCTTAGAACCCATAGTTATGCATATATAAAGTTGTATGCATTTCTGTTTCTCCATGTGAATTACATAGGAAATAAAATTGTTTTCAGAAAAGCAATTTTCATCCACTGTTTTGGTATCATGACACATTGTGTCAGTATAAATAGCTAGCTTTGATTTTTAACTGAGGTGAAGTTCACAGAGGCTAAGCTGTCAATTTATTTGCCCCCTTTTCAGGTAACTTTATGAATATGATGAATAGTTACTAGTCCTCACATAGGCTGGTCCTCCACTAAGGATCTGATTAATTCTTGTTACTACAAAAAGTGAACTTCTGTTGCTCTGTTCCCGTTCTTCTTGATTTGATGCTAATTGACAAGATACTGACTCTTATTCTGTTATCTCCTGTTTGAGGGATCTTGTTGAAAGTATTCTTAAAGCTGAATATGTTGTGTTGCCTTCATCACTTATTTATGCATCTACTGTACACTTCATCAGTCTTGTACAACTATTGAGAATCAAAACTTTGCTCTAAAATACAAGCTTGCTCATGTAGATTACAGAGTGCATTATCTACATTTTTTTCTTGACGACTTTAAAAGAAGCACATGGATCTTCCTTATACAACTTCAGCCTTGTTTAAAGTAGTTGATAGTCTCTTAACTATAAGTGTTTTTCAGTTTGATGTATGTAACATCTATTTGCTACAAATAGAATCACTTTTAATTTTGTAAAAAATGAGGGAGTTTTTGGTTCCTGGAAAGTAGAATGTTTATCATCTTTACATAAGTATTTAGAATGGGTATGTATCTCTTCTATTAATCCAGGAAAAGAGACTTTGGATGGGGATATAAAAAACAAGTGAAGCTTAAGGTGTGTTTAAAAACTTACAAGTAGGACTTTAAGGAGAAAGGGGGTTTGCAGGAAAACACCCCCAGTCAAATGAATTCACTAATGTCCCTAGTTTATATTCCTTTAAAGACTTCTAGAAATGTGCTTGTTGCAGGGGACTTACTTGAAAAAGTTCTACAATATTAACTATTTAAAATGAAGAAATATGCCAGAGAAATGGTTTCACAGAAGTTAATTACTACAACTCTGTTTCTACTTCCAGGCAAAAAAAATCTATTCTAAAAATAATAGAAATAGCCTAAATGTCTTTGAGAAATCTGTATCTGCATTTCTGCATTTAAAGATTGACTTCCATATACTCAGTCCATGTAGTGAAACTGCTTTGCTCTCTTATTTCCAAGAGGTTGTGAAAGGCAAAACTAAAGCTTTAAATTTGCCTCTGTTCAGCAGCTTATGTTCTGACGGTGTTTTCCCAATAGTGACTGTTTTACATCTGAGAGTAAACAAGGATATATTTTAGCTATGCCTCTTCTCGGCAAAGAACATTTTTTGTCTTCTGACTTGTATCTCATTGTTGTGGCTTTGTGGGGTTTTGTTTTCAGGTGGTGCCCCAAACTATTACCCAAACAGTTTTACTGGTCCAGAAGATCAGCCTGCGTGGAAGGAGTGCCGGGTGTCTGTTTCGGGAGATGTGCAGCGCTTCAACAGTGCAAATGAAGATAATGTGACTCAGGTATGAAGTATGAAAAGGCTTTATATTGCCTATTTTTACATAAGCTGAGTTTATAGGATGGGTTTAGAGAACAATAATAAGAATCCTTCAGCCATGGCTCCTCTCTGAAGTATCTGGGCTAACCTGAAGTTCATCTGATGAGAGCTTGGAAGATCTCCATACAGTTTAATTTCATAACTGACTGATTTTGCTGACAGGACAGTTAGTGAAATCTCACAGACCTTTGCCATCCATATTCTGGGCACCAATATCTAGAGGTTGTGCCTGTCATCTTGAGATCAGTGTCTGCAGATAGGCAAACTAAAGTATACATGTAATGGCATGATAGCCAATTCCTGAATTGGACCACAACAGCTATATTTGTTTTCATTAATTCAGTAAGCAACAGTTATTTCAAGCTAGAATTGAAAGGAGTTGTTAGTAGATTTGCCAAAACAAACGAAACCCCACCACAGATCAGCTGCCTTTTGAATTTTTGCCTGACTAGTAAGTGAAAGCTTATTCCTTTTTCACTAGTAATGAATCTTAAAAGTCTAGTAAGTATTATTGACTGCTACAGGTAGAATCGTAAAGTCATAGAATCAACTAGGTTGGAAAAGACCTTTAAGATCGAGTCAAATCATTACCTCAGGACTGCCAAGACCACCACTAAAGCATATCACTGAGGGCCTCACCTACATAGTTTTTGAATGCTCCCAGGGACAGTTTCCTGGGAAGCCTGTTCCAGTGCCTGATTACCCTGCTTTTGGGAATTTCAAAGTAAAATTTTGTTTCCAATCTTAAGGTGCGAGACTTCTATACCAAAGTGCTGAAGGAGGAGGAGCGCCAAAGGCTGTGCAAAAACATTGCTGATCATCTTAAGGATGCACAACTCTTCATTCAGAAGAGAGCTGTAAGTGGCCTATTTGGGTTTTAGCCTTTGCTTTTTATTCCAGGTTTTCTTGCAGTCTAGTAACTTGGGTGGTAAGGTTGTGAAAAGGAGGATCAAGAATTCTTCACTGAGAAGACAACTTCTGGGTTTTTCTTGCATGGGAATTATCAATACAGAACACTTATGTAAATAGGCACATACTTATAACATAAATAACTTGTTAAAGTAACTTTTTTTCCTGATGGGAAGAACGCTATTGATGTTGAACATCAAGGATGATGTCATGTGTTTCAAAAATAAGGTGGCTGCCAGTGTAATGTTTTGGCTCTAAGGGATAAGGCAGCAAGGACTAGGGAGGGATTCGATCTTTATCCTTCCCAGTGGAACTTTGTTTATGTTAGGAAAAAGCTTTGTGTGAGGTAATAGAAATAGTGTTTGAAGATCTTCATAGCTCCTTTCTGGCTGGTCAGAATTAAATTCTTTAGAAAGGAGTCTTCATCTACTTCTTATGATATGTAGTGCTTGTAGAGCACAGAGCAGAAAATGTGTTAAAGGATACATTTGAAATGGAGGAAAAAATTCTTGTTGCCTCTTGTAGTAGAATCTGTCTCTTTGTGTTTAGGTGAAAAACTTCACTGATGTTCATCCTGACTATGGTGCTCGTATTCAGGCTTTGCTGGACAAATACAATGCTGACACTGGGAAGAAGGTACGCTAATGATTTCTGTAGTTGAATTTTGACTGACTGAATTAGCTTAGCCTCTTTTCTAGAACAAAGTGAGAAGTAGGTCTTGATTCACATTTGGTTTAAATGTCAGAAGTCAGTGCATGTAGAATTACAGACTGAGGAAACATCACTCTAATTACGTTTAATTAAATGTTGATTAACCGACGATGTACAATGACTTTAGTTGGGTTTTTGTGAGGTTTCTGGAAGATAGCTATGTGCTGTGCGATGTGTTCAGATTGATTCTACAGAGAGACCAAATGTTTACACACTCTTTGTAATGGTAATGAAATATTTCCACAAGCCTCTCCTGGGCTCAGTGCTTGCTAAGCAGAATAACAACATTGTTGCTTCAAGTACTTGCTTTTTTCTGAAGTTCCCCTAATTACTTTTAATGGAACCTGCTCTGAATATTTCTTTTGTGTTATTTTTAGGATGTTATCAGGACATACACACAGTCCGCATCTCGTATGTCTGCCAAAGAGAGATCCAACTTGTAAAGTGTGCTGCAGAGCCTCACTCTATCAGTTTTGCGTCCTTACAACTGCAGGATAACCTGTGGAAGAGATTAATGAATGTAGCAACTTCTGCACAAATACAGAATTGTTTTACAGGCTCCATTTCTTAATCTTTCAAGTGCCTGTATCTGTATTGGAAACTAGGTAACACAAGCTAACAATCCTAGTGCCTTTAAATGCTAGTGCTTTAACTCCTTGTTGACAACATATGGTGTTTTTAAGGAAACTCATGATTAAAAATCCTCTTCATTTGTAGAAGCAAACATAAGTTTAATGAAAATACCTTCTGTTTTTTATTGTAAAACTACTTTGCTAGATCACACAATAGAATTTCTATAATGATACTGTGATTATCCATATGGATAAACTTCTTCATATTGAGAAGTTGCTGTTGCTGAGTATGTTTAATAAAATATCTGTATGTATTTGTAGGCACTTCCTTTGAATTTCATTTTTGGCCTTTCTGAAGTAAAATAATATGCAATAGTTGACTAAAATATTAGTTGTGTCTCATTCCTTATGATCAAAATTAAACTAATGACAAGAGTTTAATCTGAATACAGGTGAATTGTATTCCCAATATATATCTTAAGATAACCTTTGCTTACTAACACTAGGTTGGGATATAAATGACCTAAGAGAGATAGGAAAGGGTATTTTATTATTGCATACAATTTACAACTAAATCATTTATATCTTACAGTTCTCGGGGGGTGGGGTGGGGAGGGGAGTTGTTCTTTCTAATCTGTAAGAATTTAAATAGGAAAATATTAATGCTCCAAGTGTCTGAGAAATTAACATCCAGATGCTTGAATATTTTTATCTTGACCAAATTTAAGATCAGGCACTTTCAAAACTCTTCCCAGTGGTTCCTGAAATTCTGTTGTTTTACTGCTGTCATCAGGTATTGCTATCTATTGATCAAGCCAGAGGTAGTTTTCAGAGTTAAACTTTAATTGGTGTGTCTGTCTGAATGTGGGTATCTATAGCTAGATACATGAATAAAGCCTGATTTTAAGCATATTATAATGTTGCCTAGTATTTGCAATTTGATCAGTGCAAAAGATTTTGGAATGCTTTAGACTGAAAAGCATTCCCCATTATTATTACTTAGATCCAAAGGAGTTTAGCTCATTACTATATTTCTTGTGTTTAGTTTTTGAGTAAAATCTTTAATCAGGTCTGTCTAATTGTCACAAAATGAAAGTGTTTATTTTTGAGAACTTAGTGCAGTAGTTAAATGCTGGAATTCCTGGATGCTACCTTGTTGGAATCTGAGTAGTGGTTGCCTAAAAAGCACATTGTCAGCATCCAAGTGCTTTACAAGCATACAACAAAACCAAGGCTTAAACCTTATAAGGGTCAAAATCACACCACTATTTTTTCTTTAGATAATTCTTTAGGAAGTGTTATCCAGTTATGGGGGAACTAGTGTCCAAAGTGACTTGGAGCTTTGAATAAAAAACCCCTTATCATAACTATTGAAAGTCGGTCTGTTAAGACTAAAAGAGTTTCAGAAGTGTGCTCAGTAGGCTCAGGCAATTCACTATGCTTCTGAAAGCCTGGCAAGTTATAATAAGGATGCTGCCTCTTCCTTCTTCCTCTTAACCTTGTCAAAGAGAAAGATCAGTGTATGTAATGAGGCCAGATCCTTGTTGTGCATCAGTACCCCTCATCTGAAATATTTGCTTTCCATGTTGGTCTGCTGATACTGTGTCACTAGCATTTGGACTGGAAAAAACATGAATGATAACAAAGGATTTCAGAGCCCAGCTACTAGCTCTCAACCAAATGTTACACAAATTTCAAATCATGGCAGTTCTTTTTAAATATACAGTACACTTCTGGATCTGTCTTGAGTTGTATTTTGAATAGGAGTGCTTCCTAATTTGGCATTAAGTGTGAAGTGGGATTCCAAGAAGTGATGGCAGATAAGTAAAGAATAGATACTAAAGTGCTGTTACTTTAAATTGTAGAAAACTGCTACTTCAACTCATTTATCTACTAACCTATTGTGAAAAATTAGCTGTGATATAGATACAGTAAAATAACATGAACTGGTAGCCTACTCTGTTCTGGGATTCAACTGGATTTTTACCTGATCAGACAGGTGGGAGCTGGAAGAGCCACATGAATGCGTGGGAATGTTTCTTGCTGGAACATAGAATCCTAATGAGATCTGTAAGAGAATGAGCGAGGCTGAATCTAATTTTGGTTGTGTCTAAATGAATTATGTTTTCTTCCTCTTTTATTTCCGAAATAAAACTGAATTTAAAAAAGAGGCTGAATCTAATTTTGGTTGTGTCTGCTAAATGAATTATGTTTTCTTCCTCTTTTATTTCCGAAATAAAACTGAATTTAAAAATCTCTTGGCAGCATGTGAATGTTTTCCAACAGTTTATATTAATGTAGGAAGTTGATGCTTTTGTCTGTTATTTTGGAGTTTTTGCAGAAGCTGATGAAGTTCTGGGTAATTGGTATCTGTTTCAGAACTGAATTATTTGGCCTGCAAAGGCCTTGGACTCAAGGCTGATGCTTGGCATTCATGTGTGGAGGCCAAGCACTAAATTCTGCTCAGCTCTGATATGTGAAATTACTTGTTAGGAACCTTCTCTTTAATTTCTTAAGCCTTCAGAAAAAGGAATGCTGCTCACATCTGTGCTGCAGCAGTGTCTATGAATATGTGTACCATATGAATGGGAAAAAGTTACTGTCCTGCTTTATTGTGGGTTTTGTTGATGATGCTTTACTTAAGCACCTATTTACTGAAGAACCATTTGTTATTTTTGATTTAAAAGCTTTGGAGGCCATTTCCAGAATGGTCACAAGGTTATCAAAGTTTTTCATTGCAGTTCATCCAGATTTTAGTGGAGGACAGTTCTTAATAGTTTAAGAGAGTATGTGAAGTTGAAATACAGCACTTGAAGGGTCTCAAAGCTACCTTGAAAAAAGCTGTCAGTATGGAGATTTATTCTACCAGTTCTGTTCAGTTCTGCTTTTCTTACTGCAGTTACTTTGTTCCTAAAACCCTGCTTCTTGTTTCACAGGTGAGAACCCATGTGCTCATTGTAAGGTAAGCTTTACAAAACAGTGGATAAGTATGCCTGCTTGACCCCATGGTGGAGAGGACACTGTGACATGAACATGTGGAGGTTTTAGTAGAGTGTTTAGCATAGGGGGCTATTTATAAACTTTGTCCAGGTGGCTTTTATCTGACCATTCCCATACATGATTATCATTAATAAATTTCACTATAATTTATACCGGTTTAGAGTGCAGGTTCAGCTAAAATTTGGACGGTGTCATGTCAGAAAAGAAAATCAAGCACTAGGGAATAAGGAAGAGAGAGGAAACAGCTTGTGCAGTGATGCTGAGAAGACAGAATGGGTAATGTGGGTCATAGGTACCTTCTGCAGCTGCCTTTGTTTTGAAACCTTCCAATTTCAGTCTAGTTGTGTTTAAAGGACTCACCTATGTTCTGTGATGTTAAACTGCCCGTGACAAGTGTTATACAGTAAAACTCTGCCTTTTCAAAGGGCAATGAGGGGGTTAGGCCACACTGGAAGAACAATAATGTTCTTTCTTCAAATAAACAAGGTGATAAATCAATTTACAGCTACTTACTTTGAGAATAAAAAGAATGTTTACATAATGTGACACAACTTCATTTGATTTCTGACTTCATGTTCTGTTCAAGTAAAATCAAATATTCCTTTAATAGGTTGCTGCAATACAATTTTCAGTTACATGTAAAGGAGAATTGCTCAACATCTTCCTATTCAGATGTACATCTGTAACAGAGGATTTGGGGATCGATTTGAAACTTATGGTTTGGAAATTACAGCTTCTCCAGGAACACGTCTCCTCCTTATAGGCTATTCCCCTTTATTTCTAGGCTTGTTTTCCCTTTTCCAAAATGTTTGGACTGGAGTAGCCAAGAAACATGAGCAGATTCCAGAATTTCAGTGGACATTTGTTGAAGAGGGCTGTGCCAGGAGATGAATGTATGGGATTGCTTAATCTTCAGGGAAAAAGGGTGAGGTAGGTTTGGATCAGATAGTTACTGCTTTTAAGCATGTTGGAAAAGGTAAGCCCTGAATTTCTGTCTCAAACCCAGCTAGCTCATTGCCTGGTGGAAGCTATCATTTGGAGATCTGGTGTGTGGGTTTTTCAGAGAGGTATGTGAGTCACCATTTTCCCACAGAATTATAGGAAAACAAGAGTTCTTTCCTCACCTAATACCACAAGAGGAGGTGGTTGTGGTCTGTTAAGCTTGTCTTAAGCCTGAGAACCTGCATATCTTTTCAGTTGAGGCTCCTTAATCTTTCATTTTAAACCATTCCATTTTTATCTGCAAATTAAATGTTAATTGAGTTTTGTTCGCTGTGGGGTTTGAGGCTTCAAACCACTATTGCAGAGGTGATAAGTTGCATGCTTCTATCTATCACTGACAGTTGGTTACATGAAGATGTGCAGTGAATGCTAAAGCTTGATCTTTCCTCCTAGACAATATTGCAGGATTTAATCTCAACTGTCGTTTGGACTCAGTTGTGTGATCATGACGTGCAAAGCTGGACTTGAGCATAGCCTTGACTCAGCTAAAGTTGAGGGTGTAACTTGAGTTGCGTAAGGCTATTTTGGACAGAACTTGGAAAATAACAAAGGCTCTGTTTTGATGATTGTAAATGAAATTAAGGCAGTTTTGCCAGATTTGTGGTTTCACAGTCAGCAACTGCTAGATTCTCACTTAGCTCTTGAATCCAGATTAGGAGCTAAAGGCTTTTGCAATCTGTGCTGTACTATAATCTCAAGGTACCTGCAAAGCATCTTTCTCTTCTGATCCATTAAGAAAGTATAAATATTCTTCTGCTTTGAAAACTCTCACATGAGATGTTCTGAGGTCCTCTCCTAGTTCAGGTTGATTTCAGCTGTGGGGATGGATCATTTAGACTGAAGAAGATTCCTGAAAAAGCCCTATGTTTGCACAAGGCTGTCAATGTTTGCATGTTTATGCACCCTAGGAAAGCTAATCCAGGCTAAGTGACAAAGCATGGTGTAAAAATGACAAGTGAAGTAGCTTGGTACTCTGTTCACGGGTAACAGTGACACTTTTACAGCCTGGATAGAGCCTGTGTGATTTGCTTGTGTGATGAAAAACTTGAACTTTGTCATGGTGAGATTGCACCCAAAGTCAAACTTTAACCCCAGTGCATTTGGAAATCTCACTGCAGTCCTGTCTGAGAGTAAACAGACCCTCAGGAGATGAACTGCAATTTGTTTTCAGGTCACACACTGAAGCTTGGCAAGCTGATAGTTCTATTTGGTTTAATAGTAATAACGAAATACTTCTGCATACTGCTTACCAAAGCAATGAGGTCTTGTGCTCTTATATATTGTGCCATTTTTCATCCTAGTTGTTGCAGCCTGAC